TGATAGGAAAATGGTTGAAAATTGAGTTTGGTAAGAAAATGTAAAAAAAATTGTTTGATTGAAAAAAATTTAACCGGACAAATTAGGTAAGATTTATAAAGTCTATGTTTGGTTTGAGGTAAAATATAGATAGGGAAATAAGTGACAATTACGAAAATATCTGTACTTTTAAAATTTTTGGGAAAATAGAAAAATTGTAAATTATACAGAAACGCGATAAAGAAAAATGGATCCAGTGAGGGTAGGTTATAGAGATAGATTGTAGACACTGAGCCCTAGAGTCGCGATTGGAAAGGTCACAAATCGCAGTTGGTGATTCTTACGGTGGTGTTACTGATAATACTAAACAGAACCAGCGGTTACACGCTGACCGTGAAGGTGGGTGGTGAGTTCTAAACCGGCGAAGATTGTGAGCAACAGGGTGGGTCGATCGTCGGTGACGAAACAGGGTACGATGATGTTCGCCATGTTTTGGTTTTTTGTATTGTATCTGTTAACCGTTGTGTTGGGTTGTTTTGTTAAGCGCTTGTACAGGTTGGTTACCCTTTCTTCTTTATCTCTTTCAACCCACAAAACACGCTTTAGATGAGGGTAATAGGGTCCGATGCCATTTGTCTTATCCTTCATTTCCCTGGCTAAGTTTGAAAAACCACATACAAATTGACTTTCGTAACAGTGAATTTTCCTTGCTATCTACTACATAAAGCTGAAAGCTATGCAAATCGCTTAGATGAGGAAATTGAAGGAAACCGTGAACCAAACATGACTGTTATGCTTTCCCACTTTCATTTGCATAGGCATCCTCCTTGATACCCTGAACCAAACGCTCCCTTAGGAAGAGTGACCATTTTGTCACGCCTGGCCAAATTATTTACCAGACTGCCACGCCAACAGTAAAAATTCCCGAAATGCCACGCGGCATATTTCGCTACACTGTGCAGCGAAATATCTTTGCATATAATTCGCTACACAATGTAGCGAAATATGCCATGTCAGCCTGCATAGTCAGCAAAAATGCAACGTGTCAAGCAGACAGTAATTTGCTACATTGTGTAGGAATTATGCTTGTATTATTGTCTGCTTGACACGTTGCATTTTTGCTGACTATGCAAGCTGACATGACATATTTCGCTACACTGTGTAGGGAATTATATGCAAACATATTTTGCTGCACAGTGTAGCGAAATATGTCGCGTGATATTTCGAGAATTTTTACTGTTGGCGTGGCAGTGTGATAAATAATTTGGTCATGCGTGACAAAATAGTCACGTTCCAAACCTTTACGTTGACTCATACAAATAGATGACGAATAGGGGTTGAGTTGGAGAAAAATATTATGTGATATATTATTGTATATACGGGGGACTTTTGTTTTTAATTTTTTTTTCCATAAATAATTAAATATTTCTTTTTAATTTTCTTTTTACAATATCGCCAGGCTCATTTCTTTTTGTAATATTGGCACAAAGGTTGTGTTTTTCTTTCTATAAGCTTATTCAAATATCTGTAAAAAAAACTTGAGCATTTAATGTCTTAATATTTAATATTTAAGCATTTCATTCATTTTAAAATAGCTGTTTAGGTTGTTGTATAGTTATTAGGGAAGTTATAAAATATTTCCAAAAGTAAGAAAATATAATTATGGTAGAGTAAATTAAATTACTTTATATTAAATATTCAAAATATTATTATTTGTGAGATTCCATGAACATTTTCTTTGGATCATAAATGAGAAGTTGAAAATAAAAAAAATGAAGGGGATATAAGAAGTGAAAGTTTAAAAAGTCCCATACAAGAGAGAAAATAAGCAGAAGGCTTTATAACGCTTAGATTCATTTTTGTTGTTGTTGAGATATTACAATTGATTCATCACTTTGTGATTAGTCTGATTCGGGGTGAGTCCTGAAATTAAAGATTTAAATTTGTCCTAAAAATGATACTGAGAAGAATTAAATATATATTCTTATCCCAATCTGTTCAATTCTCTAATGCCAATTGAGCTACAATCATTTGGTTAGCTTCATTTCCTTTGATTGGCCCTTGAGACCAATGTTATTAAACCCGACTCGATTATTGATTCGGTCGAGATATTGGGTTACTGGGTCACCGGTTCAACCAGTGGATCACTGGTTCAACCGCATGACCTGAAAAGTATATGTAAATGTATAATTTATATTAAAAAACTATAAATATACTTAAATACTTATAAAAAAATATACCAATTTCAAATATTTTAATATAAAAACAATAAATTACACATCATTGTCCAACAAAAGATCAATCAAACATATAATATTTGTGATACTAGTGTTTCAGGTTCAGTAAACGACATCTCTAACTATAAACCAAATCAAAATTCCCTGCATATTGCATAATCAAGATAATATTAGTGTTGTAGGTACATAATCTATGTAAGTTAATAATCTACAAATCACTCAAATATTTCAAAAGAAAACAAATCATTTGTGTTTGAGAGTAAAAAAAAGGACATTAATTTATGAAAATTAATTAAATTTTTTTTATAGACCGGGCCGGGTCACCGGTTGAACCGACCGGGTCACCGATTTTTACGAAAACCGGCCGGGTCGCACCGGGTCACACCAGTTCTGTAACATAGCCGGTCCAATATGAAAACTGGACTGGTTACATGACAGGCTCACGATTTCTAGGTCGACCCAACCAGATCGATATGATTTTTATAACATTGCTTGAGACATTCCACTTTTGTAAAAAGAAAAGGACATAGGTCATCTATAATTCATCACGTATAGGCGCACCGAAGCTGGACGAACGACTTCTTGAGATGAATATATTCAAAATAAGATTAAAATTAAAAAATAATTAATTTCTTAAGTTTTATAAAACAATAAATAAAATGGAATAAGTAAAGCGGTTAAAATAATTGAATCCAATACCTTTTAATATTTGTAAAAATTCTAATACATATAATGTAACTAACTGCTCAAAACTTAAGTTATTAGATAAATACATCGGAGAATCTTATATTTACAAAAAAATTGTTTATAAATTATAGTATGTATTGATCATATTTTAATCAATAATGTATGACTTGTCATACTTAATATAATTTGTAAAAAATATTTGTAAATAAATCCTTCTCCAATACATTTATATTATTCTTTTTAAGAAATCTCAACATCAATCTTCTTGATATCATCTAGTTCAGTATCTATACCTCCGTAACCTTTTACTATACATTTTACCGAAACCGAAGTAGTGGTAATTGTTCTGAATTTAATAATACGATCCAACACCCTAGGTCTGGCTGTAGCCCATAACCTGACAACAACAATAGATCCTGTTAGTCACGTCCTCACTTGACGACCACCATGTTCTTCATCCATGGAGCAAGCTTAATTAAAGATAGTGTTTTCTTTGGTCTCAAGTAACTGCTTGGTACCGATTACCAAACAATCACACATGTATAATCGCAAATCAAAACAAGAAAGAGAAAGAGAAAAAAAAAATTGGAGACACAAATTTATCTGATTCTCTTAATATGAGCAGTGGCGGAGCTGAACAAAATTTGAGTCAGGGCCAAAAAATGATATGAGTAATTATTTTTTTTAATTTTAATTAATTCATATCATAATATATTTAAATTGGGAAAAGATCTGTTTATAATTTTTTTTTAATTTTTTTTGCAAATTATACTAGATACTTCCGGAAGTACGTAATGTAACTTTTCTGGGAATACATATTGTAGTTTGGAAGAGTTTATAAATAAAAAAGTTTGTAAATATAACCCTCCATAATTAAATTATATTAAATACAGAGCACCTGAGCAAGCAGTACAAGAAGAATTATAATTTGGGGAAATATAACATTCCCCTTATAATTTTAGTAAAATTAAAATAATTTTTTTTTTAATTTTACTAATTTTTTTTATACAAGTAGAAATTGAACATATAACCTAATACAACTTACCCAAATCTCTTATCAAAAATATTTTAAGTTTTAGATAGAGGCAAATTATAAATTATAGCCCGGGCCAAATTATAAATTATAGCCAGGTCAAATTATAATTTTAACCCGGATTAAATTATAATTAATTATATAATTATATATAATAAGTATACTTTGTTAAAATTTAACCCGAACCGAGGTCACACCCAGAAGGTACGTGGCTCCGCCACTGAATATGAGCCACGTTTAATAATATGTATTATATTGTCTTGACCACCCTAGTTACAAAATATTCAATTTATAAGGCAAATATAAACAGATTTATAAACCCTAATTAATTATAGTTATTTATGAGCTCAAAGACAAATTACATAAAAAGAAATAAAATAAAATAAACCCTAAGACATCAATTGTCCCGAGAATGGCTCTCTCCGTGGAGCGGGACGCTATTAACTTTCTCTAGCCTCTAGGTTCCGCCGATAAAGTTGTAGGTTATTTATTATAAAACTTAAAAGTTAATTTTTTTTTGCCATAAAACTAGTCTTATTGCACGAATTAATTGAAAATATTTCCAATGAGATGACTACAAGTGTCATTCTATAAAAGAAAGAAAACAAAAAGGATTTATTGTTTTTTAGATGAATTTATCTTCTATATACACATAAAACATGTGAAATCTATTTATTTTTTTTCCAACATGAGTCTCATATATTTTTAGGTGTATAAGATATATATAAAACACACCAAACCCAATCAAAAATCAAAGCCGTGTCAACCTTTGCTGCTCACACTTTTGTGTGCGTGTGCTTATCATATACTAATTTGCCGTTTGAGATCAAACTTTAGGAACAAAACAACGACTACAGATACAAACATTAATAACCATGGACATTCTTATATTAGATCCCCGAATTATTTATTATTCCAATGAAATTAACGCCGGCATCAAGTCATTTAGCTCCTTGCATTCACAACTTGACATAGTTGCCAATATTGAAAACCTAAACAGTATTAAAACAAGCTTACCCAAAAAAAAATAAAAACAGGCCTCACCCAATTTTTCTGGGGCTAAGCATTTTCTTCTAACAACACTTCCTCTGTTTCACATGGCTCCTCACAAGAACAACAACAACAACATCAAAATTCATGAGCACAACTATGTTGCTCCTCCATCATCTGCAACCGAAACATCTATTCTTCTCACTGTCTTTGACATGTTATGGCTCAGGTTCCATCCAGTTGAGCGTGTCTTCTTCTACTCCCTTAACGATTCACACTCATCAGACCCATCTTTTTTGTTTGACAAAGTGGTTCCAAGACTCAAAACCTCACTCTCTCTCACCCTCCAACACTTTCTCCCTCTAGCTGGCAACATCGTTTGGCCTTCTGATTCGGAAAAACCCATCATCAAATACACCCCCGGTGATGGTGTTTCAATGGTCATTGCAGAGTCTGATGCTGACTTCAACCATATCATGGATAATTCACCCCATGAATTGGTAAAGTCTCGTTCTTTAGTACCCCACTTGGAATCATCAGATTCTCTTGCTTCTGTTATCTCTCTACAAATAACTCTGTTTCCAAACAGTGGATTTAGCATCGGTATCAGCACCCACCATGCTGTTCTTGATGGGAAATCTTCAACTATGTTCATCAAGGCATGGGCTTCTCTATGTCAAAACTGTGAAGAATCACCATCTCTGGTGCAAGAGTTAGTGCCCTTCTTAAACAGGGAAGTCATCAAAGATCCAAGTGAACTTAGCATCACGTTCACAAATAATTGGACAGAAACCTTAACCGAAATGTTCCCTAAAGATAACAGTGATGGGCGATGCTTGAAGATTCTACCATTCCAACCAAAACTGGAGGACACAGTTCGAGCAACGTTCGAGCTCACACGAGGAGATTTGGAGAAGCTAAAGGCAGGGGTATTATCCAAGTGGGACATGGTGGAAGAAGGAGCACAATTATCAAAGCCACATACTTTATCATCCTTTGTTCTCACATGTGCATATGTTTCTGTCTGCATTGCTAAAGCTATTCAAGGAGTTGAAAAGGACAAAGATAAATTCGCTTTTGCATTCGCGGTGGATTGCAGGGCAAGATTAGAGCCTCCAATCCCTGAGAACTATTTTGGTAACTGTGTGTGGGGTCATTTCATTGATACACAACCAAGGGATTATACAAAGGAAGATGGGTTCGTCATTGTTGCTAAGTGCATTCATAATAAAATAAAAAGCTTTGATAAGGGAGTTTTTGGAGGAACCGGGGATGCTTTTTCTAGATTGAAGGCTTTGAAAAGTGAGGGAGTTGAATTGATGGGACTAGCAGGGTCAAATCGATTTGGTGTTTATGGTACTGATTTTGGTTGGGGAAGGCCTGCAAAGGTGGAGATAATATCAGTGGATAGAGGTTTAACCTTTGGCTTGGCAGAGAGTAAGGATGGGAAATGTGGGGTTGAAGTTGGGCTTGTTCTGAATAAAAATGTTATGGAACACTTCAACACTTTATTTCATGGAGGACTACGCGTTGATTGATTGGAGCTATTGCAAGAAAAAGGGAACTACCTCATCACTAGGTTTGACGTTGTATTCAATAGCAAAAGGACATAACTACATAAGCACAACTACTCTTTCTGATGTGCAATAACTGTTCTCCTTTAAGTGTATTTTTTTTTGTTCTCCTTTTAAGTTTATTTTTTTTGTTCCCCTTAATAAATTCGGGTCGTACTGTTTCAAACGCTTCACATTACAGCTAAAATTTATTTGAAATCACAATCTATTTTTATTGCAATTAACTACTCTCAAGTATTATTTTTTTATAATTTTAATTGAATAAGAAGCTGCCAACACGGTATTATTCCTCTTAGATTCGTTGCTCTCTTCTGTCTTCTCTAACGTAACCATGAAATGCTGTACCGGTACACCACCCCATTTGTCTCCACTAGAATTTTTTAAGAAGATCTGGAGCACACAGCATGAGAAAACAATGTCGTGACGTATCTAACAAAGTCCAAAATCTCGAAACACCATATATTGGAAGAGGTAAACTCTAATTCCTAGCTTCAACATGATCAAACGTTAAGAAAAACAACTGAACAAGACCAGACTCAAGATGGAAAAGAAGTTTTAGTAACTCCATTAACACCATCCAATCCTGTTCCAGCAACACAGTAAGCAAGAGGCCAATGTGATTATTGCAGGTCAAGTATATAAATATCACCGTTCACTTAACAACTTAAGTTTTGAGTTGAATTGATTTTTTATATGGTTTCAGAATCTCAGTGTTATGGGTACAATCTTTACCGCCTCTCAATTTTTTATAAATTTTTTTTAGCATAGGTAGGAATCTGATGCATCATCTATCTTTCTAGTTAATGGCTCTCCTGTGAGGGAGCGTGTTAGAGATAAATAAAATTATTAATGTAAACACATCCAAAGCTTGATTCTTTACATGATATTAGAGCCTTGATATTCCACATTCGATCTCCGCCGCCTCTCATTTTTTGTGTAAATTTTTTTAAATAGATAAGTTGAACTTGATGCATCGTCTCATCTTTAAATCCAATGGACTTTTTTTATAGGGAAATAGAATTATAATGTTGTAGGAAAATGTTTAGGTAATGTTATAGAGATAGAAATGGTGGGACCCACACTTGTTTATTTTTTTGGTTTTTGAAAACAAGGGTGGGTCCCACCATCTCTATCTCTATAACATTACCTAAACATTTTCCTACAACATTATACTTCTTTTTTCCTTTTTTTATAAAGTAGGTATAACTCCAACCTATAATTTAAATTCTTGACTTCAATTGATTCTTGCTCATTATAAAGGGACAGCTCACTCATCTCGGCTCATGCATGAGTCATAATAACCATCTTCGCACATTCACGCACTTAATTATATTATTTTATAGTAGAAAAGGACAATCATTTTAAATAAAAAATACCATACCACGGGAAAGCAAAAATGACTTAAGAGGTGTGCACGTCTCATTTGTGTCTTTATTCAATAATTGAGATGAAGAAAGTGCATTAAAAAAAAAAAATAATTGTGCGTCTCTCTCTCTCTATGTATATATATATATTAAAAAAATTAATTGTGCATCTCTCTCTCCATATATATATAAAACATTTGTGCATTTAAAGGATATATAATTATATTATTTTAAGAGAGAAAAATACAACTTAATTTTTTATTTAAAATTTAAATTTAAAATAAAAATTAGTTCCTTTCTCTCCAATAATTTATGAGAAAAATGTTTATGCAGTTACTGCAGATAAGTTATCTGCATTTATTCCAAAAACGACGTTGTTTTGGTATTGAAATCTTAAAAAATTATAAATATAAAGACTATTATAACCCTGAAATAAATTAAAATTACAAAAATACCATGATTTCCGCCCAAAACGACGTTGTATTGAGCTTACTGCAGATTTATTTGCAGTAATTGCAGAAAAAACGAACCCATAATTTATATTGCTTGCGTCTTTCTCTCACTTAAAATGACATAATTTTATGTCATTTAAAAAGATAAATACTAAAACACACACACACACACACACACACACATATATATATATATATATCATTTTAAATAACACAAACATATGTTATTTAAAATGAAATTACGGTGTTTTGATATTTTTTTACTTTCTCTTCCGGATTTCGTGGAAGACGAAGAGTAAAAAATTACACAATAGTTTCACTTAAAATAGTATAAACTTGTATATTTTAAAATAACAAATATTTTTCTTTAAACCACTAATTAATATACAACACATAATCACTGGCTTCATTCATAAATTTTCCAAAATATTTGTTGTTATCCTAGCGATCCATTGTATTTTTAAACTAAGTTATTTCATTCTTAATTTTTTTCAAAATAATTATTGACTTATTCATCAATCAAGTTTCAAAACCTAACTTATACGGAGTCACAATAAAAATATAAGAAAATCTTATTATTAACAAAAATATTAGACTTTAATTTAAAGGATCATTGGCAAAAAATTTGCAGTTTAATAACTTAATACTTAACCCATGTTTTATGAGTTTGTGTGATTATCAACTTAACCTAATCTATGAGCCCAATCTATCCAGTTATTTATAGGTTGATTTGTGTAAAAAATCGAGTTTATAAGTTCACTAAATCCATTTAACTCACCTATATAACCTATACATCCTTCTGGCGCTAATTCCGTCAAATTTTGATAATAAGCACTACGTGGTGTATTCACTAAAAAACCACATGAGATTAAGGGAATTTAATTATTTTAATACAATTTTAAAATCAAAATACCAAATTGATTTTAAAAGGGAAATATTTTACCAAAATAATGTAATAAGATGTGCTCATTTGTTGTGTGTTCAAGTGTATAATGCACGACTTGCAAATAAATGAATCAATGTCTACTTCGCGGCGCTTACTATGAGACATGCATTGGGGGTTCAGGCGTTTTAGTATGAATGGGAATGCGATGACTTGTACAATTCAATCCCCCTCCCTTCATCGCCGCACCTAATTTCAATTCACCAAGTCGCGTATTCATCTATATATCTGACTTGAACACAAATACTTTATATAGATTTAATGTTTATTATGTTATAATATTTATCTTATAGATACGTATAAAAGTATAGCCATCACTGTTCCCCCGCACTCCGGATTAGTCTTATAGCCGGCTCAAAGAGTCGAAGCTCGTGGTGATACCGGAGGGAGCCAACTCGTCTCAAAAAGATAATTAGAGTTGGGTAACTCCAAAAAAAAAAAGTATATGAGATTTATTTACAAACTTTTATGTGTATGTAAAGATAATTTTATTTTCTATAATATGAAAAATATTAAATCCTTTCATACACCTTCACTACAAAAAACAAGGCCTGCAGCGACATCAGTTTAACCACATTTATTAAAATGTTGATACAAATCCAAAAATACCCCCCATTTGCCACATTATTTTCAAAATGAAGTAAAATTGTTTGAGTTTTTTTCTCTTCTGAAAATCAGTTTTCATTTTTTTTTAATATAATTTCTATTCACTCTTTTATTCGTCTATTCTGTTACGGGATAAACTCTAGAGTTTTCTTCGTTCTTTCATGCTTAAAATCTAATAGAGTTCAACTCGTAACTCAATTCCTTTCTTAATCGTGAGCTTCAAATCTTGGTATTTGGTACACAAAATCCCGAATGCTAAGGTGACTCTGCTTTCATATCCTTATAGATCTATGAATGTTCTCAATATTCTTTGGTATTATATATTTTTATTTAATTATTTTTAAAATTTCAGGTTTAGGTTTCATCTCTATTGTTAAATTTGAAGTTTCGATCAGATCTGGTTTTTCCCTTCAATTAAGGTTCTGAAATTATAATGGAACTTCAGTTTTTAGGTTTTTGTTCTAATTGATATGAGATTTTCTCAATTTCTCTATGCGCAGATTGGTGTCATTCCGTGCGTAGTTCCTATCCTAATTTGCTCACTTCACTCTCACTCGTATTTAGGTATTCTCTCTTTCTCTCGTTTCTTCTGTTACAAACACTCGGTAGAAATTTGATTGAAATTGTTGTTATAGTGCCGTGAATATGAATTGCACGCACTTGGTTTCCATTTGTTGTTTTCTTCCTTTTCTTTTTTGGGGGGTCGAGGGAATTGGGATTAGGTTCAGATTTTGTTTTTGCTTAATTCCCTGTTTCTCTGTACAGACAGAATTTGTTCATTGGTTTTGTACTTTACTTCTTTGTCATCGATTCAATCTAACAATTTCTTTTTTCAGTATTTATGCTAATGATTTATCAATTCCCATTGTATTCATATACATTTACTTTTTGTCTTCTTCAATAATTATTTTGTGCATGAGTTTACTTTACATACTCTTTTTAAATTGATGCTTTGATTAACTATTAACGGTTAGAGATATATATATATATTAATTGATTTAATTAATGATTTTCTTTTTCTGCTAGTAAGAAAATATATATGAAATTGTATGTTGTTGATTTTTTTCAACAATCGTCACTGCTCGGTAGGTAAGAGTCTGTGGTAAGAGATGGTAATTTATATTCAATGACTTGAAGTTTGTGTATCAATTCTTCTTATAAGTGATTAGAGGGATTGGCATGAGAAATGATGTCTCAGAATCCTTTAACTGAAGCTCCAATTTTAAAAGAGCATAATTTATTTTTAAGCTGCTATAACATGTTCTATTGAATCTATATGAGACTATATGGTCAGCTCAGCTGACAATACACCTAGCAAGTCTTCTTTCTCGTTGGTTACTTGTTGACTTGTTGTGGCTTATAGTTAATTCAAAAGATGTTATTGTTGCAGCCTACTCCATTGCACTTGACTGTCAAAGAGTATGTTACTCCTGAGAAATTTGCTTTCTGGAAAGAACATGGTAAGTGACAAAAATGACAAATCTTCCACGTAGATGTACTAACATGTATTGTGCTACAACATTTAACTTACTGAAAACCCTTTGTCTTTTGCAAGTGCGATCTTCCTACAGGGCTGGGGAGCTATTTGTGAAGACAATTGTACGAGAGAAGGACAAGAATGCGGGTGGCTCATTGATATAGTGTTTGACTCTGCGATTATGTATATTATGTATACTTTTGATATGAGATAGATTTTCAAATCAGCTTTATGTAGTCTTTGGACCAGTTATGTTTCTTAATTTAAATTATTGGATACACCTGAAAGTTGTTTCTACAACTTGAACCTAGGTCCTCTATCTATCCTAATATATACAATTCTCGTGTATGTATTATTCTCATTTTGCACCCATTTCATTTTTATTTCTACATAAAATACATAATTACTTTGTGCCCTGTTTCATTCACTGCGCAGACTCGCTCCCCATTCAACCTTCTGACCGACCCAGGTACTTCCTCATTGTCTCATTCCACCCCCATTTTTTAATTTTTTGCTACCTCAATTAAAAAAAATAAAATAAAATTTGTTTGCTGTTAGGTATAAACTCGTGACTTACATAAACTTTAAATGTTATGTTGTCTTTTTATAATATGATAATTAATTGGTGTTATTACAGTCTCCTTGCCCTATGCATACTTGATTAGAAATTTCTATGTCTATACATATGCTGCAAAACATGCTGTCATATATTAATATTAGTAGATTTTGCAGTTTTATTCTTTTCACCTTTTCCTTCAAGATTTAGAGCATGCAGTCTTTTTTCCTGTAATCAGGTTTAAGTTTTGAAATTTGTGCATGTAATCAAAACCGAAGTAATGTAGGGTATCTTTGTTTTTGGTTATTTTGTTTTTTTTCCTCAGATGGTGAAGCAAAATTCGATGTCTATTTTGAAGATGCTGAACCAATCAAATTCATTTCTGCCTCATGCAGTCCTTGCTAGTATACTGCTAGCTCTAATCTTCCCACCTTCTTTAACGTGGTTTACCAGCAAGTCTATGGATGTTCTGGATGAACTGGTTGATAAAAAATATTGTTTTATGATTATTTGTATTTTTTGAGAACTTGAGCTAGTAAGATGATTTGCAGCAATAAATTGGTTGATGTTCAACTCTAATCTAGAATTTCATGTTGTATCTCTTTCAACTGCAAAAGCAAAATGGAATGTAATGGGGAAATATATGATCCCATTGGACCTTTGCAGCCACTTCAAGATAGAGTTTTGCACCAAGCAAAGAGAACATACTTATGATCTCATTGGACCTGATGGAGCTAGCCTTGGCTGAAGATCTCAAATTCCATAGACACATAAAAACCCTTAAGCTTGGTCGTGTTATGTAACTTTTTCACAATTTGTTACTTGTAAATTGTACATAATTACTTTTATTTGTTACATAAAATACCTTTCTTGATAGAACCAAAGCAGAGCTTTATATACTTTGTCTTTTCACCATTTTTTTTCCAAAATATTTCATTTTTAAGGTGTGCTGAGGATGAAAGTATGCAACCAACCTATCTTATGTTTAGGATATGATTAATTCTTTACAATATAATTGTTTAGCAGATGGATATAATGTCTTATAAAGTAGTTGTCATGGTTTATCCTTACACTGTATTGAATTTCCAGGTGAATTGACCCAAAAAAAAAAACCTAAAATTTGGATAGCGGTAAATTATAAAAGAAATATAAATGTATTATTTTTTTTATTTTCTCCATATAAATTTGCCACATTTATCATGTGGCTAATGTCAATGAAATCGTGGCTAAAATAAGGCTACCACACTCATGATGACAGTTGCAGAGTGAGAAGAATAATGTGGCTAAATAAATGCCACGCCAGGATTAGCCACATTTGACAAAACTGTGGTAGTTTGAGTTAGCCACATTTTTCGTTACATTTTGCCACGTTTTTAAACGTGGCTAAATGACGTATTTTTCGTAGTGCTTGTTATTATTTAGGTAAAACATTTCATTTTTCATCAATTCATTAATTTATTTAAAAAATTGAAAAATGTACAAAAGTGAATTCTTCCTTCTAGGATATTCGCAGTACCTAATAATTTCTCCGTCTCTCCTTGTCCGGAGGGTAATCAATGGTTTCGGCGGATATAGAAAAGAAAATTTTCTTTGACTTGTGCGCCAGACTATTTTCTACTTTAGGAAATGGAACTGCTTGAGTAAGACGCTAATAGTTTTAACTTAAGACACCATAAAATTATTTACAAAAAAAAAAAAAGACACCATAAAATTTAAGGCACTTCACCTATTGGTACGTGGACAATTTGATTTGTCTCTCTATATATCTGATTTGACTCTATATATCCGATGTGTTTTAAAAATGAAGTACAAAATTATAGTTTTTGATAAATAAAAAGGATTCATTTTTTTGTGCAAATAAATTATTTGCAGTAAATTCAATACAATTATTCTGAGACAAAAATTATGGTATTTTTGTAATTTTAATTTATTTCAGGGTTATTGTAGTCTTTATAATTATAATTTTTTTATTTTTTCAATCCCAAAATTTTAGGAAATAAATACAAATAAATTATCTGCATTAATTGCAGAAATATTTTTATGAAATAAAAATTACGAGAATTAATTATAACAAGTTTGTAAAAAATTTTTTTGGTAAAAAAAGTTTGTAATTAAATACATGGAAGAATGATATTTACAAATTTTTTGTTTATAAAATCTTACAAACTATATTATGTACTCCCGAAAGTACACTAGATTACACTATATACTTTTGAGAATACATAGTGTAATTTGTAAAAATTTATAAAATAAATTTGTAAATAAATCGTTCCTCTTAAATATATACTTAAATGTTATATAAAAAAAAATATATACTTAAATGCATTTTATCACAATTTTCATCGTTAATTTTCAATTAATAATTGAATCCTGCATTTTATCTTCTAAAATAGATTCCTACAGTGGATGTCAATTGATTGTGAGCGTGTAAATTTTCTTTCCATAAAGATCAATATGTAAATCGCTTTTTCTTTTTTTTCTTTTGAAAAAAAAAAAATGCAATGTATGCATCATATCATATGAATTACTTAATACGTCTAGTAATACAATACTTTACAAACAGTTTTTTTTTATTTGTATATATGTTTCCCAAACTCCATATAAAATAGAAAACGACAATTAATTAATCTAAATTGTACGCTTCGCGAATCTTTCTAGAAGCACATAAGAAATGCAGACCGTAAGAGCCAAGCAAAGGGTGGAATTTTGTTACACAATAGGACAATAACCTTCCAAGTAATTAAAACAAGGGTACAAAATAGAAATGATTTAATTGATATGAAAAACAAGATATGATATCTCCCTTGAGACTTACATAACTCAATGGATAATAAGCTACGACTGACGAAAAATAAAAGGCAAAAGAAAAAAAAGAATAACAATTACGTAAATTATCATGGCAAAATTTTAAAGGAGACTGAAATTGCTTAAATAAAAATGACACCTATATATTAAATAAAACAATTTTTTTAGACTGATTCAATTTTTTCAAAAAGTAATACATATCTTTCTTAATTTTTTAAATTTAATTTTTTTAAATTGATTATAAGTATTTTTATCATTTATTTATTTTTTAAAAATGTTATCTAAATTTTAAAATACCAATATAATATATGAAAAATTGCTCGATTGATATTTGAATCCTCTCTGATTATACATGAAGAGATACTCCTTGCAGAAATGATTTAGCATAAACCTTTTAGATGTTGATGTTGATGAATAGCATTAATGATGGAAAGAGAAAAATAGAGAAATAAACCATGATTTTGAAAGCTTTTGGCTTTAGAAGTAAGTTGTGAAAACGATAACTCCAGAAATCAACAGGAATGTATGATATGACCAAATAACTGAATAATTCCACATCAAAACATTTCAGATAAGAAGTTATTAAATGATAAAGCAAAAACAACAAAAACTCAAGATTGAAGAAGTCCTTTAACAAAGAGAGAAGCAAAGGCCTCCATTGCTTCTTTCTTGGACACCAAACTTATCTCAACTCCATCACCATTTTTGCTATCAGAGAGACAAAATGCTCCAGTTCTATCTATAGACGCCATCTCCACCTTCTTTGGCCTTCCCCAACCAAAATCACAATTGTAAACATCGAACTTGGGTGACCCAGCAGCACCAATTGTCTTCACATCAGTGGCAAAACCATCAATCAACCATGATGACCAATTTTCTGCTCCACTCAGCACTCCATCCTTCAAAGTTCCCAAAGCTGCACTCAGTGCTTCCACAGCCACAATTAGTCCATCTTCCCCCAATAATTCTCTCGTTTCACAAACTGTAAGTCTTGCCCCAATGCAATTTCCAAAATATGTTGGAGGAAGAGGTGGTTCTAAGCGAGACCTGCAATCAATATTCAGAGCCATAATAACTCTTCTGTTTTGAATTTCCTCAGCTTTCACCCTGCAAACCCATGCATACGCTATAGATAATACAAAAGTTGACAAGTGAAGATTCCCTTTCTGTTTTGACACAACAGATTGTTTGAGCTTTTCAATATCTGAGCGAGACAATTGAAACAAGCCTCTAATTGCCTCTTCTGGAAGTTGGAGATCCCAAACCATGAAGCTTCTGTTGTTGGGTCCACCTTGCTTTAACCAATTACTTACATATTTAGCCTCTATTTCATTATTGTCTTTGATCATTTCCCTATCATAGAAAGGACTCAGTTCAGGTGGCAAACAAAAGGGTGATTCTGATTCTGATTCTGATTCTCCTAGCCTGCTGCATAGATAAGCCCAAGATTTGATAAACGAAGTTGAAGTCTTGCCATCTAGAACAGCATGGTGAGAGGTGATTCCAATGGAGAATCCAGAGTTTGGAAATAGAGTGACCTGAAGGGCTAACACAGTAGCTTGTTCATGGGATATGATCAAGTGGGGTACAAGATGGTGACTTTGTGTCGCTTCACAAAGGTTTGAACCTGCTAGATAGTTGAAATCAGCATCAGATTCAGCTACAGTGAGGGAAACAGTGTCACCTGTGTTGTACTTGATGATGGGTTTGTTGGAGTCAAGGGGCCAAGTGAGGTGGCCCGCAAGAGGGAAGAAGTAGCCAAGTGCAAGAGAAAGAGAGCGTTTGAGTTTGGGAAGAAGGGTATTGAAGAAGAGAGTGGTTGGATGAGGGAATTCATAGAAGAAAACGCGTTCAACAGGAGGTAACCTTAACCAGAGTAGGTCAAAGAAGGTTAGAGGAAGAAGTAATGTTTGAGTAGGTAAGTTTTCTGATCCCGAAGCTGGTGCTACTCTCAAAACTTCTACGATTATCATAGCTTCTTGTACCTTGGTTGGAACAAACTTGAAAAACACAAGACACAGGTGTTTTTTTTTTTTTGTCAGAGCTGATAACGCTACCTGTGTACTGTTTTTATTAGCTGATGACAGTTTTAAACTTTTTTATAATGAAACGAGGTTTGACCTTTTAATAAAAGGTTTCATCAAACACACCTCTTTTTCTCACAACCCAAATCACCTGACATTCACGAGATTCGTAAGGAAGGCAGAGAAGACGAACAAAATTTGCAAGCAATTGAAGGTTCAGAAGGGAAGATTTGCAAAAAGATGGACAGGATTCTCGAACAGGGTTCACTGATTCCTCTTTCTTTCTTATTACCCCCTTCCTATGTTGTTTTGCACGTATTGTTCATTGTATTGTCTCTCTGCGTTAAGGATTATAGCTGCTCAATTTTGTTGTCTCTATCTTTGTTCTTTTCTTTGACATAGTAAATGAATACATAAAGGAAAGGCTGATAATTACCTATTAAATAAATCATTAGCTGGCTGGGTGCAATGAACTTTCTTCGTTTTTTCTTTATATAAATTAAGGTCGCTTTAAATATTTTATGCAAAGTTAACTTTATACTAAGGGTGGTCATCTGTATAATATACAATTTTTGTTGATGTCACTTGACATAGTGGTGGTAACCAACAAATGCCTTCCTACTGGCTGATTTTCAAAAAAGATTGATTTCTTATTTATAGAACTATAGAAATAATAGCTTACTCCATGCCTTTCTGCATAGTTGATACTGGCTGATTTTATTTTTTAGGAATTAATATTTGGTATGGATTAAAAGGCTCCTCCATTGACTTGACAAGTGTTGCTACTCACGGCAAGTGCACCGATCGTACAAGTAATATAATGACTGAATAAGAGATCGTTTCCACGAGGATTATACTCAAGCACTAATTCACTATCGCAAATTTAGTTGGACAATCAAAATTGTATTTGGAAAGGAATTTGAATTTGAAATTTAAAAGACGAAACTAATTAATCGCAAGAAATTAAAAACGTGATTTAACTCTAATTAATATCAAGAATAAAAGCAAGAAATTAAAGATTGAATTAACTAATTTAAAAGAACGTAGCTAGGGGTTCGATTTCCTTTAATCTCTTTATTACGGTTGAATTTCTTCTTAATATTAATCGTCCTTAGTATCAATCTAATCAATTCTTTCGCATGTAATTAGGGCTCAATCCCTTGTTACCCTAAACCTTTACGATCTTGGAAGAACCCTAGTTCCCCGGTTATTCCCCAAGAACGTGAGCATTAAGTTCAAGAATCTTAAAGATTACGCAAACTCTATGTCTATCCCTAGAATCATAAAGCGTCCGATGAAATTATCATATTAGGATCACACATCAACATTCCTATTGTCATGCATTTACTCGGGATTAATATATAAGATTCAAGCTCATATAAAGCATTAAAAACAGATGACTTCATTCATGATAAAAAGGAAAATTAACATAGTGAATTGTTCAAAGCATAATAAATCGATTGAATTCCATCTAACCCTAACTACTTAAAGAACTAGCCAGACATAACAATATCAAGAATGAAAGACAATATAAAAGCTCCCCCAAACTCCATAGATGATTGGTGAATCTTCAATATCCCCAGTGCAGACTTGATGTTGATCCGTCTCCGCTGCTCACGAACATGAATCGAGTGTTTTTCCGCGTCCCCTCTGCCTCCAAGTACCAAAGACTCTCTTAGAATATGAAAAGTTATTGATTCTGAACCCTAAATGTGTTTTTAAGGGTAAAGAATTTGTGCCCTAAGTGTATTCTTCAAGTGGGCTTAAGTTGGATCTTTCGGGGCGCTTAAGCTTGCTCATTCGCGCTTAAGTTTCCTAATTTATGAATGCAGGATTAACATTCGCGCTTAAGCCTGCTGGAGCGAGCTTAAGCGCGCTCTTCGATTCTGAACTTCCTTCTTGGCTCGCGCTTAAGCCCAAGGTTGGGGGCTTAAGCTTGCTAAGGCCGAACAAATTTGCTTATACAGGAGGCTTTAGCTTCCTAATTGGGGCTTAAGTTTGCTTAGGCAGAGGCCATTTGCTGATTTTTGGAGGCTTTAGCTTCGAATTGGGGGCTTAAGCCCCCTCTCTAACAACTTGAGAATCTTGATAAGATCTTCAAATCTTTTTGTTTTGCTCTCCTTCTATCCATATCTTCATCTTTGACTCCATTTGTCATCAAATCCCTTAAAATAGCAAATATTATTTAATTAATTCCTAATCAGATAATGTTCATGATTTTATATTAAAACCCTAGTTTTGACTTGTTCAACTTAATAATTTATATTAATTTAACCTATAAAAACAAGATAAACTAAAGGTTTATCAACAAGCTCTCGCTAGCTGTGCTCAGTAGTGGACTCAGAAAATTTTATTTATGACTGCACATTTAGTGGTTGGGATTCGGGGCAGTGTCCCCGAACAAATTTTTAAAGAAAATTTTAAATGCATTAAAAAATAAAACAATATAAACAAAAGAAAAGAAAAAAACTTCAACTTAATATATAAAAAGATAATAATCAAGAGTCAACTAAGCTATTATAATAAAATCAATGGCAGAACCAGAAATTTATATAAGGGGAGGTGAAAATAAAAAATATTATATAATAAATAAAATACTTACAATATAATAAAGACCGAGTAGGATTTCTAACAGCATTTTGAACGAAGTTAGCTATAATGTATCATATTTTTTTGTCTTATTTTACACAGTGGAATTTTTTAATTAAATTTAGAAACTATCACATAAAGACTAAAAGCATTATATTTTCAGTACTAAATTAGAATTGATCGCCATGTGTCCACCAATATCCTCCCTCTCTCTTTGGTGCATGGTCGACATCTACCCAACACAAAGGACACTATGCATTCCCTTATCCCTTTCACGGCTAGGACCCTTGACCAGATCCCAATTCATGCAATCAGAAAATTCATTCTCCTCTTACTCCCAAAATCGTAGACCCACCCCTTCACTTAATATTTTCTTTGGACCGTGGAGTTACATCAAGTTCATCACCATCGTCATTCCCTCTTCTTCCTCAAAATCGAAGCTCACATTGCTTTCCTGCACTTTGTGATTTGAGGGGGAATGAAAATAGACATTTTGTGATTTGAGAAAATGACACTTCATAATCAGTATACAATTTCAAAAGTTTATGTCTGCACTTGCAGTTATCATTGGCGCAAGTGCAAGTCCATTACTGGCTGTGTTGATGCACAACTAATTGTGCAACTCACGAGAATTTACCACTTGACGGTGAATTGATGCACAATTAATTGTGCATCAATTTGAGTGTAAATGATTCCATTAATTGCATAAAATATTAAAAAATGACATGAATTATATAATTTATTATTTAATTTTTTTTATCCGGAAAGGATACGAGCTCCAATCTTATATTCTAAAGGAATGTCATTCTTTGGCAAGTTTGCTGACGTGTCGCTTTCTCCTTCACTTTCAGCTTTGTGTTCACACTACAAAATATTTAAACCCTTTCTTTCTTTGGTAAAAAAGAATAAAAAGAAAAATATTAAATAAAATCAAATTTGTAATTAAATTTAATTGAAAAAATATGTTAACAATTGTTGGTGGCAGACAACTCATTTAATGTCCTTCAACTTTTCGCATTGGAATTTTCAAATTAATAATATCTCTGTTTTTTGAAATCTTCATTTTGAATTTTGAATTTTGAATTTTGAATTTTAAATTTGAATTTGAATTTGAATTTTAAAGGGTGAGAAAATATTTGAACAATTGTTGGTGGCAAGCAGCTCATTTACTATCTCATTACTTTTTTTTTTAGACATTATCCCATTACTTTCTACATGGTTAATTGTTAACCATATTAATGCTGCATAAAAAAAATACTATTTTGTTAAAAAAAAATCATTAAAAAAACGAAAATATTTTATAAAAAATGCAAAGATTTTGTGTATAAATAGGATATGTGTTATGGGATTTTTTCCATTTGGTAATTAGCTTCTGTGCACATATTTCCTCTCTTATCTGTCTGTTTATCTTCTCAAATTTGGTAATTAGCTTCTGTGTACATATTTCTTCTCTTATCTGTGTGTTTATCTTCTTCATCTTCTCAAATTGTTATTCTATTACATGAACATGTAATATTTTTGGTTTTTTTTTTGCAGCTTTGTTGTAGAACAAAACTGACGGGATGATTTGGAATCAATGGGATATGTGTTTATGTACTTCCTCAGAGGAAGGTATGACATTCTTCTCTATATTCTTTTCTTTTATAAGTATTTTCTCCATAATCTAATATCATGAATGAATGAGATGATATAATAAAATGTCTTAACTTTTAAATGACTAAATATTTAACTTTAGCCTTCTCTGGAAAGATCTACAAGCTGCAACAAAGAAACAAAAGTATACAACGAGCAATGGCATAATGCGTGGATCTCTCATCCTTTTGGCCAGTTCTGTCTTTTTCTCTCCTGTGTGTTATCTATGCTCTTTGGGCACCATATCAAAATTTAACACGGTAAAAATTTCTCCTTTATCTTAAAGTTCTTCTATTTTTCATCTTTAATGTCTGCAAGAGCAAGAAAAGCTTTCTCTTCTATTCTTCCTGTCCATACATAATTTGTTTCACATTGTTGTTGCTGTTCTTTAATTTATGTCTGTTCTTGACATATATGCTTACCATGATGATGGGAGTGATGAGTTGGATATGGATGATACTACTTTGATCCTCATAAAACCATGTTCTATTTCTTCAAAGAATGTTGGAAGTGTGCCAGATGCTAGACCAGTGCAACCCAATGACATAGTTTCAAAGCAATTTTTCTTTTAGGATTTTTTTGCTTTAATTATCACTATTAATTTATCCTTATATATATATTTTTTTTTGTGCCTATTGTATAAGTGCCTAGCCTAATTCAATGTAATTAGGCATTGAAAAGCTCTATTTTGCATGATCATATTCAAAATATGAACTAGAAGAGAAATT